TAATTCCAATAAAAATGTTTTTATACAATTTTTTTACACATTGTGTTTCTTTCGTAATTACTTCAATTGTTCTTGATTAAAAGAAACATGGTATTTATCAATTCACTGCATGTTTATGGTGGATCTTTCACATGTTTTTAATTCTATTTCGTCATAATTACTTCCGGAATTATGTGAGATAGTAGTACGCATGTGCAACCTCAGTGTGGTACGAGTTATGAACGAAGAAGGACGTGGTCCTTCAATTAGCAACTTCAGTTCGTGTCTTAGTTAACGTGGTTAACTATTTTTTCGTTTGACACATTGATAAGATATACTTACTTACAAAACTCGAGGAGTTTTGTTTTTTTTACGACTATTATCTACAAAACTCGAGGAGTTTTGTGTTTACGACTACCATAAAGCGGTTCTTCGACTACTTTATGATAAAGTCGTAAAAATGGCGGAACAGATGATTCAAAAGAAACAATTACGGAGTACTACTTGCTTTGAAGAAGAAGTAGACACAGAAAAGACGGACGGAACATGTAAAAGTAACGATGTTACTAAAAAGAACTCTAAAGTCGAGGTTCAGGGAACAAAGACTAAGAAACATGGTAGTTCTGTCGGTAGTACGGTAAGCGCTACAAGTACAAGGTCCAGCGGGACAAAAAAACCTGTGAAAGTTGTGGCCGATGTCCATAACAGCGGTAGTACACAAAATGATAATCAAATTATGTGTATACTGAATACAATTCTTGAAAATCAGAAAAAACAAGATGAACAGATCGGTACATTGAACAATAAAATCAATATGATAGAAAACGAATTTCAAGAATGTGATGATTATGAAGGTTACGATGATGATCAGACATACTATGAGAGTTGTAGTAATGTTCAGCATACAGATGATAATGTTGAAAATTCAGATAATCCTTCTGGGAAAAGGAAGAGTGATAATTTGGACACAGAAGTTGTTCAAGAAAATTCCAGTCGTTTTAAGAACATGAGTAAAAGATTCAAAAGAAGAGAAGTGTGTGATGTGAAAATAGATGAGACTTTGGCTACAAATATAACAGATTTGTTTAGAAACGGAATGAATGAAGATCAATATTCAGATATGATTAAAGATGAAAATAATGCAAGATCAGAAAACTGTGAAGGTCTGAAAGTTGTGAAGACAAACCAACTCGTTTGGGATATTATATCTCAAGAAGCTAAAACCATTGATAGAAAAATGCAAAACATAGAAACTTCTGTTATTAAAGGTTCTATCATCCTGGCCAAAGTTGTGAACAAGTTGGCAAATGTGGAAAATGAATTAGATGATACACAGAAAACGAAATTGGGAAAAATTATAGATGAATGCAATGACAGCTTAGCTCTATTTGGACATGCAAACAAACAAGTAAATATGACAAGACGTGAGCTTATTAAACCAGAATTAAGATATGAATACTTGCATTTGTGTGCACAGACTGTACCTTACACGTCATGGTTATTTGGTGACGATATCTCAAAAACTGCAAAAGAAATTGAAGATTGCAGCAAGATTGGTCATAAGCTGAACAGAGGAGGATCATTCCGGGGGAGAATGAGAGGACGTTTCAGAGGTCGTGGACCTAGAGGACGTGGAAATTATTACAACAACAACACTGCATACAATCCAAATTATTCAAACAGAAACAGTGGTGGAAGTAGTGGCCAATTCTATTCAAAAAACTTCAAGAAGAGCAATCCACTGTCACAACAGAAAAGCAAAACTCAATAAATGATGAGGTTAGGGAGAAAAATGTTGAATTTTATGCAGGTAGATTGAAATATTTTTCCAAAGAATGGGAAAAAATTACATCAGATAAAAATATATTGCAGATAGTTGAAAATTGCAAAATAGAATTTGTAGATAACGCAGCTCCAACAAAATGTAGTTTGTATGAACCTGTGTTTAACTCAGTAGAATCTGAAGTGATAGATCAAGAAATTCAGAATTTATTAAAAATGGGAGCTATTGTCGAGGCAATTCCTGGACCAGATCAGTTTCTTTCATCTATTTTTGTTAGACCAAAGAAAAATGGGGAATACAGAGTTATCCTCAATTTGAAAAATTTAAATGAACATGTGGTATACCATCATTTCAAGATGGATACTTTTGAATCTGCGGTAAATCTGGTCAAGGAAAATTGTTTTATGGCATCAATTGACATAAGACATGCCTATCATACACTTCCAATAGCAATTGAGCATCAAAAGTATTTGAGATTCAGATGGAAAGGAAAAATATTTCAATATACCTGCTTACCATTTGGTTTGTCTTCAGCACCTAGAATATTCACAAAAGTTCTCAAACCAATTTTTACTAAGCTTAGAACATTAGGTTATCTTAGTATGACCTACATTGATGATGTTCTACTGTTTGGAGATACTATTGAGGAGTGCAGAATGAATGTGAACATTACAAGAGAATATCTTGAGAAATTTGGTTTTGTGAGTCATAGAAAGAAAAGTCAATTCGAACCTCAAAAATGTATCACATTCTTGGGAAACAGAATAAATTCTGAGAGAATGATTATTGAACTGACCGAGGAGAAGAAAGACATTATTTATGAAGAATGTAAGTGTTTAATGAATCAAGATCAAGCAAAAATAAGAACTGTAGCTCGAGTCATTGGACTGATTATTTCGAGTTTTTCAGCTTCAGAATTGGGACAATTACATTACAGATTGCTAGAAAAAGAGAAAATAAAGCATCTGAAAGAGGCTAACGGGAATTTTGATTCATTAATGCCAATTACTATGGAAATGAAAGAAGAGCTGAATTGGTGGTGTTTCAATATTCATTCTCAAATCAGATTTATTTCTAGAGGTAACCCAGAAATTACCATTCAAACTGATGCATCTTTGTCAGGTTGGGGAGCAGTATGTACACAAGATAATATCAAAACAGGTGGAAGATGGAAAGAAGAAGAAAAATCAAATCACAAAAATTACTTGGAAATGCTTGCAATTTACTTTGCTTTGAGATCTTTTGTGAATATTGTGAGAAACAAATATGTAAAAATATTATCAGATAATACTACAGCCATTAGTTATATTAATAACATAGGTGGTATAAAATCTGAAATGTGCAATAAACTTGCAGTGGAAATATGGGAATGGTGCATTGAGAGAGACATTTGGTTGAAGTGTTCTCATATTCCAGGGAAAAATAACATAGAAGCAGACAAATTATCCAGAGAGTTTAATGATCAAGTGGAATGGCAATTGGATCATGATATATTCTTACAAATTTGTTTAAAGCTAGTGTTTCCAGATATAGATTTGTTTGCATCAAGACTTAATACACAAGTTGAAGTGTTTTGTTCATGGAAAGATCCAGAATGTAGTTATGTTGATGCATTTTCATTGAATTGGAGAGATTTTGATTATCTTTATATTTTTCCACCTTTTAGTCTGATGGGCTTGTGCATCAAGAAGATTCAGGAAGACCGGGCAAGAGGGATTATCATTGCCCCGTTATGGCTCACTCAGACTTGGTTCACAGGATTAATGAAAAGTATAGTCAAGAATCCAATTTTACTTCCGAGAAAGAAGGATCTACTTCTAAACCCTCACAAAAAAGAGGTTCATCCTTTGTGGGAAAAAATGACCTTGATTGCATGCCAAGTGTCCGGCGAACTTACAGAAATCTTGGATTTTCAAGAACAACTACCTCCATTATTATGGCATCATGGAGAACCGGTACTAAAAAACAGTATCAAACGTTCATTAAAAGATGGTTTCAGTACTGCTTTGAATGGAAAATTGATCCAATTTCACCATCTTTAAACAATATTTTGGAATTCTTGACTTTACTTTTTGATAATGGACTGAGTTACAGCTCTCTCAATACAGCTCGAGGGGCTTTGTCAGCCTTGGGCATAAAGTTAGATGGAACCAGCGTTGGATCCCATGCTCTTGTTATCAGATATATGAAAGGTGTTTATAATATTAGACCAACTAAACCCAAATATTCTGGAACATGGGATGTATCCTTAGTTCTACGACTGTTGAAGAAATGGTCTCCTGTAAAGAATTTAAGTTTGAAACAGTTAACATTGAAACTTGAAATGTTAATTCCTTTAACAAACGCTGCACGAGATCAGTCGATCCATCTTATTTCTGTAAATAATATGAAAAACTGTTTTAATGGATATATATTCGAATATTTTGGATCACTAAAGCAATGTAGACCGGGGTATAAAATGCCCGTTGTACACATGAAAGCACATCCTCTAGATAGGAGACTTTGTATATACGTTGTGGTGAAGGAATATTTATCAAAGACAGCACCTATTAGAATGAAAACAATCACTTTTGTTAAGTTTTGTTAAACCTCAAAAGGCGGTTACAAGAGACACAGTGTCTATGAAATTTTCTGGTGTTCATACAGATGTATTTGGATCGCATAATGTAAGATCTGCTTCAGTGTCAAAAGCGAAATCAGTAGATGTGCCAGTAGGTGACATTGTAAGGAAAGCTGGATGGACTAATGCTACAACATTTTCCAAATTCTACGAAAAAGACATCATTGTTGAAAATAAAAGTTTTGCGTCAGGTGTACTTTCAAAGAAAAATTAGAGTGGGAGACTTCTCAGTAAGTAAAATAGTATTATGATCAAGTAATTTTTCTTGTGTTTTGAAACATTTGATCATAATGGGCTTTGAAGTCTCACATAATTCCGGAAGTAATTATGACGAAATAGAATTTAAAAATTTGACGAGACTTACCTTGGTTAAGTCGAAGTCAGATTGTAATTCTATGAGTCATTATAATTACTGTAGGGATTATGTGCCTCCCACCACTCCCTACACACTTATTCAGATATTCATAGATATCAAACCAATAATGCATAAAGTAATATTAGTAAAGTAATTATATTCAATATGATTACATTATGACCAAATGTTTTAATTTGAAAACTGAGGTTGCACATGCGTACTACTATCTCGTCAAATTTTTAAATTTTCTTCACTTTACCATTGGCCCACTCGGCCACAAAGAGGTTGTCTCTGGTGTCTACACATAAACCTCATGGACGGTATAGATCACAGTTATCAATGTAACGGAGGAACTGTCCATCCTGATCTAGGATGTGGATACAGTTGTTGCAATAGTTTACTGTCAAGATCTGACTCTGGCTGTCTGTTGTAATGCCGTTTGGATTAAATGATCCCTTGTCAGTTGAGGGATGACCAGTGGATCTAAATTGGAGTTTTCCTGCCTGATTAACCACCACTACTGCACGGGCTATATAGTCAGCCACACAGATATCCAGGTTCCTATTCTCACTGATGTATTTAATAGAACCACATAAATACAGAGGTTTGCCTTCACTATCAAACTGAATGGTTTGTTTCTCTGTGGAGCCAGAGTAACGGACAACTTTTGTTTGTTGATCATCATCAGTGACCATAGTAACCAGGAGGTCACCAGAGGATGTACAACAGACATTGTAAGGTGTCCACCCCTGTAGTCTGATCACTTTCTGTATTTGTTTATTCTTCACTATGTTTACAGTTCTTTTATCACGGTCAGTATAAACTAGATCTCCACTCCTTGTCACTGCTATGTCACATGGTATGTTCCCTGACTCGGTTTGTATTGACTTTAGTAGTTTCCCCTTGATGTTGTAGAGTTTCATGATTTTGTCATTACCACGTGTCCAGATTTCTTCATCACTGAGACAGATAACACTGTATAGTGATTTATACCCAGTGTCTGTGGTGGTGATGAGCTCTGGTTCATCAAGCAGTGGCTTGAATAGAGGACAGGATACAGCTTCTGGTGTCTTCATTGTGTAGCCATGTTCTTCTGTTGTAATGGATAATGCTGACAGAGAACCAAACATTTGATGGAGTTGTTCTGTGTTGATCTGATGAGGAGAGAAACTTGGAAATGATACAGTGATTTTTGGAGGTAAACTTCTGAATTCAACATTCCTTGATTTGTATGCAGAGGTAAGGGAGACATCATTGGAGTCCAGTATTTTCTTCAGATCAAGTATACAGTGTTTTACATCAGATGTAATCTTTTTGATTTCATTTTCCTGTTTATTTAGAGCAGTCAAGTGTTTAGATTTCATCTCATCAATTTCAGATTTCTGTTTGTTGACAATGATGTTAATTTCTCTGTGCCAGTTTTCTCCTTCTTTGGTGACAACTGTTGTCAGTTTCTCATAATGTTTTTCTAAGTTGACCATTTCAGAGTTTAAATTTGATCTAATTTCTTCATAGGTAGGATACATTCTTTTTTCTAGTTCTTTCAGATCATTATTGAAAATTTCTTTACTGAAGCTGGGATTCTGTAAGATATCTGTTAATTTATGCCCATGGTGTTTATCAGAGGAGATGCAGGTAGAACAGACAGGAATGTCACATTTCCCACAGTAAAGTTCACAATGTTTCTGGATGTGGTTTGGGCATTTTGGGTAGTTAATGCTAGGACTAGAAGTTCTGTGTTTGTATGGTACAACTTTATGTCTTATAGATGAATCAGAGAGATGCTCCCCTACACATACATTACACAGGTTAATCTGACAAAGTTCACAATGACTCTGTAATGCAGCTCTTTGACACGCATCACAGAGGAGGAGAACTTGAGCTCTGTCCGAGGAGTCCATTATAGGGGTCTGTCACATGATGAAGGTGGTGCTGTAATATTGTGTATCAATTATTACTCTGACTTAATAAAAAGACATTGAAGGACAGATTTTTAAATAAACTCAAATTTGACATGAATTAGTAAGTGTTGAAAGATAGGGATTTTTGATACATGATTATAAAGACAGTCCTTCATTGTTTCCCTGGATAAGCATTTCAAGACATTTATAAATTGTATGACATTTTTTATAACTTAAGAAGAAAAAATATATTTCTGAGATCTTGAAAAAGAAACAATATTATGATTGAATATCACATCAAGTCGGAGAAGCATAAAATAATTGTAGTGTCTCACCTGTTATTACAAGATGGCCGTTTTAGCTACGTATATAGAGACTAACAATTAACTTCCTGGTCTTGGTTCTAGATTTTGACCCACTCTCAGGTCACATGATTTAAATACCTGTACTTGCACATGATTGTTTGTATTAATATCATTTACTAGTTTGACAAAGCAACTTTATAAAAATGCTAAACAAGTTGTTGTCCTTTAAAAAAGGACTGCAATACGTGGACCATATGCATGTGTTTCGAACCAAAATTCAATTAGAGATTTTTTTAGGTTAAATGAATTTACGTTAACCACTAGGTTCGTTTACATTTCCACAATTACCTGCCTACTTTGACAGATTAGTACATTCATAGAAAAATAATTAAACTTTATATCCGATAAGCCCACAGTTAGCCTTTAGTTTTCTAATTCAACAAGGACTCAGGGGTCACAGCGCTCACCTGAACACATCGGCTTAGAAAAAGCACATATCAGATCAGAACTGAAAGTTTACTGAGGTGAGGGGGGGGGGGGGGGCTTGAATTTTAACCCCCTTGGGGATCATGATTTGAACAAACTTGAATCTACACTACCTGAGGATGATTCCGTATAAATAATACTCATCATGGCTTTGAAGTATATGTACTTGAAAAGAAGATTTTTAAAGATTTTTCCTATATATTCCTATGTAAAACTTCGATCGCCCATTTGGCCCCGCCCTACCTCCGGCGGTCATGATTTGAACAAACTTGAATCTTCACTACCTGAGGATGATTCCACATGAGTTTTATCTTTCTTGGCACAGTGCCTCTCGAGAAGAAGATTTTTACAGAGTTTTCCTATAAATTCCCATGTAAAACTTTGATCGGCCATTTTGGCCCCACCCTACCCCCGTGGTTCATGACTTGAACAAACTTGAATCTACACTACCTGCGGATGATTCCACATTCGTTTCATCTTTCATGGCCCAGTGGTTCTTGAGAAGATTTTTTAAATTTTATCCTATACGCAATACAGTTAAGGTGCGAAATAGAAATATCGACTAAATTTTGTATTTAGAAATGTATTCGTAATCGGGATGGCGATTATTTTTAGTACATTATATCTATATCGGATAATTGTAATTATGATTAATAGCTACATATCGAGGACAATTATATTTTATATTTAGACAAGTCACGTGACGCGGCAGTCACGCGATTTTAGCACATAATTGACTTGAAGTATTGATGTTACATATAAATATCACTAGTGCAAGGGCATAACCAAGTTAAATTTCCAAATTTAGTATATAAATATTTTCAACACGCATTGTAGTTTCTAAACAGTGCTGCGATCCTGTCTAAATTCTGCAATTTCATTGTTAAAATTATACTTGTATGACCGAATGCTATATGTTTTGCTGGTCAGCGGCATGAATTATTGATATAATTAAATTGTTGTTAAGATTTCATCAGGATCGCAACACTTTTTAGATACCTTAATAGTTATATAGTTGAAATGTAAAAGCTTACTTTGATCCAGAGAGTGTATGCCCTTGCACTAGATCGATTTATTAAGACCCCCCTACATTACCCTCCGATGTACTTGCATACAAATATACGGCAGTGTCAATTAAATACGTAATGTAAAGAAAATATATAAATAAAATAGTGATTAAAATTAAATTCAAGTTATTGACCCATAGAATATCTGCAAATAATATTTTATTTAATTAGAAAATACATAATTTGTTGAGAAAATATTGCTTGATCTGTCTCTCACTGCATGCAAACTACGTCACGATGTAAGAAATGACGTCATATTGACAAGTGTATTGCGATCAGTATATTTATTTATAGCTTGTTATGTGGGATTTAACTAACGAGAAAACAACACGCTGTTGTAAGTTTTTATGTAGTATGATGGTTTCTTACTGGTTAAATTAGCAGATTAACTCATTTTGTGGTATTTTAAAGAAATGTTGTATGACGTGTATTGTGAATGATGTCATAGTCAAGTTTTCCCGTACAAATTAGGCTCCACCTCCTTTTTGTAACCTTAACTGTGCTGCGTATATTCCTATGTAAAGCTTTGATCAGCCACCCTACCCCCGGCGGTCATGATTTGAACAAACTTGAATCTACACTACCTGAGGATGATTCCACATGAGTTTCATCTTTCATGGCCCAGTGGTTCTTGAGAAGATTTTTTAAAAAGATTTTTCCTATATATTCAAATGTAAAATTTTGAATACCCATTTTGGCCCCACCCCACCCCTGGGGGACATGATTTGAACAAACTTGAATCTACATAACCTAAGGATGATTCCACATGAGTTTCATCTTTCTTGGCCTAGTGGTGTTTGAGAAGAAGATTTTTAAAGATTTCTTCTATATATTCCTATTTAAGCTTTGATCGGCCATTTTGGCCCCACCCAACCATCGGGGGTCATGATTTGAACAAACTTGAATCTACATTACCTGAGGATAATTCCATATGAGTTTCATCTTTCCGTTACCAGTGGTTCTTGAGAAGAAGATTTTTTAAAAATGCAATTAATTTTTCTCTAATTTATAATTAGCTCCCCTTTGAAGAGGGCATGGCCCTTCATTTGAACAAACTTGAATCTCCTTTACCCAAGGATACTTTGTAGAAAGTTTGGTTCCTTTTACCCAAGGATACTTTGTAGAAAGTTTGGTTGAAATTGGCCCAGTGGTTCTTGTAAAGAAGATGAAAATATGAAAAGTTTACGACGACAACGACGACAACAACGACAGACGACGGACAGATTTTGATCAAAAAAGCTCACTTGAGCCATCGGGTCAGGTGAGCTGAAAAAGGTCGGGCTCTTTTGATACATGTAACCAATATTGACTGAGACATGATCTCTGTTCTGGACTTATACGAAAGAAATCTGTCATTAGAAAATTGATCTGATGGTACTATAATTGGTGTAGCCTTGATGCACAAAACTAATGCCGATTTAAAAGCTAGAACTTGTTCAATGTTGAATGAAGTTTTAAATTAAAGTTATTGAGTTATCTAATAGTATACATGTATACTCTATATTGCAAGTTCTTCCTACTTTAATTTTTAAAATGCTTGTGCCATAGAACCAATATGTTTAGTTTCTATATTAAGATCCACCAATAAATATATAAATACGATGAATACTGCAAAATATTTATTTTCATCCACATAGTTTCGATTTCCATACGAAAAATCAATGTTCGTGTAAAATGCAGTTATAGTAATAACAATGAACCCTCAAAATATAGACAATATTGTTAAAAGTCTCCTCATGCTAGAACCACAAAATATTAATCAGTTACCTAATAAATTTTCACATTTTTTAATCTTGTTATGCATTTTGCTCTAATTTTGCTTATTCTCATTACTTTAGTAATAGCAATAGTTTACAATAGTTCTAAAACTAAACAGATCACGTAGAAACTTTGATTTACTATCTGTACCATACCGTGGAGCTTTTTGTTGGATTCCAAAGCTTAATATTTCTCATATAAATATGATGAAAATTTTGTTTATGAGATATGAATACAAGGCAAAAGTTTATTTTAATATTTTATGAAATGCTTGTGAAGAATAATTATAATTTTTTAAATGCATTTTTTTAAAAGGCGACCTTGAATCAAAATATATATACATACGGCGTCTTTATACATAACACTTATACAATTTTCTGTGATCTATGTTACCAGATCTGGTACAGATATCGGATCTTATTCACATGTAACGAATGCCTAAACTCTAAAGAAGTTTGGGAATAAGTCCATTTCTTCACTTTCTTCATCAATACTATGGTTACATTATCGGAGAAAAGTCATTTATGCCATTCTTTTGGATATAGAAACCCTCCCTGCTTCAATGCTTTACATTTGTAGATTGTTCACATGTTTTTTTGTGAATGATATATCTGTACAAAACTTTGAGACTGGATTATGATTCATAAATATATTTTTACAACATACATAAGTTAACACATACTTTTGGCATTTACACATGTATTTTGAACTGCGCCTACGGTCTAGGAAATCAAATTGTCAGGTGTTGTAAAATGACTAGCGTTGGTAAAAAATGAGCAGGAAAAAGTTTTAAAGGCGCGAGAATCACCTACATTTGCTGTATGATTTCATTAGTTGTCAATTTTGCTGAAAATGTGCACATCCTGATAAAGTTAAACCATCTTTACGAGGGGCGTTCAATAAAAAATGTCATTGGGGCTCGGAAAGAAACAAAAAACTTAGTCTTAATGATTTAAGTAAAATATTCCCTTTCAATTAAAACGCATATCCGTGATATTTTCATTCAATTTCTAATTGTTTTTTTAAAACACATTTTTGAGTATGACCCTTCGTATACTGGAATATGGCAGATCCTATGATTTGCTGTACTTGTTTTTTTTTCTTTCTGATAGATGTTTTTCTAAGTTTATTAAATAAAACAAGTCAAAGGTTGAAAGATCTGGCAAATTTTGTTGGTGTGACAAAACATTAACTTTCTGTTTATCCCCAAAACTCCTTTACTCCTCATGGACTGTGGGTTTGGACACCGTCATGAAGACATTTAATGTAGTGAATTCCTCATTCTGTTTCCTTCCTCTCATAAGCCTTTCAATTTGTTTGCAAATTGCCAAAAAAAAAAAGTTTTCTAGACTCCCCCGGAACTTGAACTTCCTCCCCGAATATGAATTTGAAGAACAAGACCGCTAATATTTAACAAAATAGCATATAAAAATGGTTTTTGCTCTTGCAATTCTTTGCTCTTCGTAGGCCTTTGCAGTTTTGTCCAGTGCATCTGTTATGGGTAAGAATTACCCGAAATGCCAGCAAAGATCAATAACACAATTTAAACTTAACAATAATTTATTTACAGTAATATATAATAAATATATCAAACATAAAGTACAAATTTAGCAAGAATCTAAAAATACATACATCAGAGTGTCCGTTGCTGCACACAATGTCCCAGTGAAAATATATCCTATTTATCTCAATAGTGCTTATACGACAAAGTATTGTATATGCATCGAATTGACAGGGTATTTATATAGTATCATAAATCTAGAATATTCTAGAAATT